AAATAAGTATATTATTCGTGTAAAATGAATTGAAAGAATAGTATTAATCACTTTGATAATTTCATAAAATGCTATAGTCTCAAACATCATCCTGCTACAATTTTGCACTTCATAACTGACCAGCCTTTAACCAGCATATGCTATGGATTCCTAAGAATCAAGGTTGTCTACAGCTATGTAATGGCTTTATGAAATTACCCAAGCAAATAATAATATTTTTCCAAGTTATAAGAAAGAAATAAAATGATATGTGTGTCACTAAATATTAATAGAATATGAGGGATAATCAAAAGAATTATAAAGAGGTAAGGGTAATTAAAAGGGGTAAGGTAATTATTAACTTTGCATTTGTTTTTGTTTTGTAGAATCTTGATGGTATGGTGTGGTTTGTTCTCACTAGGGTAAAATCAGTATGTGTATGCTAGTGGGATTATATGATGTTAAAGTGTATGCTAATTACTATATATCTTGTAGGTCTTGATGTGTCTTCGTGAGGACAGGTTGATTGATTCGACAGTGAAACTTTTCCATAAGCTTCTCTTTTTCTTTTCCATCTTCGTCTTTGTCATGATGGTGGTATCTTTCCGAAGTGACCGCACGTCTTGTCTTCTAGGTTGACGGTGCAATGCCAAAGTCTTTGGAATATGAAATTTTTGAGCTCGATACAAATCACTCGGATAAAAGCATAGTGATGAACTGCGTGATGACAACAAAACTATGATTCCCTTTCATTTGTCGATTGCACATGCATTGGGTCTTTATCAACAACAGTACACATATTTATCGGCGTATGGTACTATATTCCAGGGTGGATGATTTTTAATCTGTTTAATAGCTAGCACTCGTGACGTTTCCGCGGCCCCTTACAGGTTCGGTATGGATCTTGAATCAAGTAGCAACCAGAAGTGTTCGCAGATGTACCTTACATTCTTTCCTATGGTGCTTGAGGAAATGTATTTACTCTCAAATACAAAACTCTTTTAGTCCGGTAAACTTTTCAGGTAATCACTGATACAGTTTCCTTCTCATTTTTTTGTATATGTTCTGATTGATCAACATTTTATCGTTAGCGTCGACAGAGCACCCGAGTCCTTGGGTCATTCTCCCAGATACTTTCAGTATTAGTTCGCCCTCAGTGCTTCCATCGGGGATGCGATTGTGATCGTGATCATGATCACGATCATGATGGCATTTCGGCATTTCATTGGTCTTGGTAAGTTTCAGGTATGTTGCGACGTTTTCTTTCTTTTGTGGAGTTCTACCATTGGCCTCTAACTCTCTTACCATTCTATTCCTAGCCCTATGCTTCACATTCGATTCGCCATCTGCGGGTTCTCCTTGACCCTCGGCGATATCCATCGTCCCTCGCATGTGCTACTGGAGTCTCGTCGGTAAGTTTTATTATTTTGCTTTTGATTTTTCGCCTTTTTCCTCTCAGACGGTCCTCTTTTCTCTAAGTACTCATCTAGAGCTTCTTTCAGCATTGCAATTTCTTCTTCGCGATGTGATCGTCGTGGGAGGTGGGGTGGAAAGTCCATTGTACCATGGTTCTCTCAGACTTCCAATTTTTTTTTTCCATACCATTAGTAATCGTCGAACGTTGATATTGCTTTTTTGTATGTGTCTGTCACTGTCGCATAGAGCACAATGCCGTGTCCTTCTTTTCTTTTTTTTTTCTTTTTTTTTTTTTTTTAAATGATCATCACAGCCCTGCATGATGTTTACTTATTGTATGTATCTGGTCGATCAAACTAGATCCTTCAAATCCTGCCAGCCAGCTACAAATGGAAGATAGCCAACAAATAATTGCCTCTGCAAACTTAACGATGTCATATTATTTATTCTGTTTGCACCTTGCAATCTCTCTCGCTATTCTCACGTGGCGGAGTTTCCTCACAAATTCTCCATAACCCGGCATTACCATCGGGACAGATATTTGTGACCGGTAGCATTGATTCTTCTCTCTTTTTTTTTTTATATAATTTTATTTATTCTTCCTAAAACGGCAATGCTAATTCGCCATTTCTTTTTTTTTTTTGTATGCTGGGTGTGTTGATCTTTTCGCGATCATACGGCATCCCGCAGTATTCTCGAGGCCGCAACTTGCTGAAAGGTAAGTATCTTCTTTGTTGTGGCACAGATGGGGCTTCTCTTGTTCTTGTTTCTTCTTTGGGGTGGCGTTTAGCGTCATTTATACACTCGTTTTTTATTTTTTTTATATTTTAATTTTTTAGGGGAAGGCACATATACCGCCGATCCTGTGATTGTCATTTTCAAGGCTTCGCTTTTCTTTTGCGCAAGCCATTCCAGAGCTTTTATCATTAATTTGGGACTTCTTTTAGGTTGGGATGATGCTTCTTCCTCTATTCGGCATATACCAGCAGTCGAATTCTTCTTGGACATCGTCATTGAAGCGGAATTGGTCTTCATTTCTCCAATCGTCGCGGACACAACATCGCTTTCGTCACTCCTGTGAAGATCAAACTTCCTCGGGGCAATTTCTCAGGGGTAATAATCAAAGGGCGTTCCATTTTTGGGATCTGATTGTCAAACTTGTGTCTAATAGATGAGGCGCATCTCACAGTCATCACTAATTTGTCATATATCTTCCTACCTCAGGAGAAAGATATGGATGGAGAACTAGTAGCAGGGAGACACTTTGTATGGATAAA